ATGTCCAACATATGATTAGACGGCACTCGATAAATCCGTTTTATCGAATATTTATATTAATTAATATTAACTGTTGTGCGAAATTTATTTATATTTTACAATCAAAATTTCCTTATTAAGAAAGTTCCGCTGATCCTATAATAAGGGCCGGTAAATTTAGGACTGTAGGTGGTTCAAAGACAATCCTAACTATGAGTCATATATGAGACCTTTGTCAAAAATCATGATTTTGAGTTAATACCACCCTTATATGTAACTCTTTATATGGAACGTTTCTGGGTTAGATCTCACTTTGCGTAGAGAAAACAATAACGAAATTCAATTTTTCCCAATATTTTCAACGTTGTCCTTGTTTCTATCGAAAAGCCTCATGTATCCATTTGCATTTTATTCGATTTTTAAATTTATATTGAATGCAAATTTATTTTATTCATTTCTAATTTATAATAATTGCAAATTAGTTTATTTTCAAAATGATTTTAAAATTTAAAAAACCAAATTCTATTTATTAATGTTCACTTTTTTTTCATCATATTCTCCTTTACCTTCAAAACTCTCACCAGAATTTTTTTAGAACCTTCTTTGGAATTACTTCTTTTATCAGATGTTACCAAAATACTGATGATTTTAAATATCTAAATGATATTCAATTAATTAGTTAAAGTCAACCATGTATTCATTATAGCATACTGACCGTTTGAAAATAGAATAAGGAGTCGGTTTATTACCAAATGAAAATATTTAATTAATTAAGTTATACAAAGTTAACAGGTTAGACTTTGAAATCGCTGTTCGATTAATGTCAATTAATTACCGAATGACGCCGTAATTCGACACCAATCAGCGTGTTACAACTACCTATCTATTATATAAATAAATATCAATCGGTTAGCTATTAGGTCAAAATTGGATAGCTGATTCTAATTCGTTCTACAAGAGTAACGTAAAGAAAATTTATCCCAGTATCTATTTAACAGGAAGATTCATTAAAAGGATTAACTGTTAATATTAAAAAATTTACGCGTTATGCCTGAAGTAGGTAGAATATTAAGAATTTTAGGACAAGAGCGAGTAGATACATATCAATATATTTAAATAATCTTTATTTATTATAAAAAAGATTTTTTTAACATGTTTAATATGACCAAATAAATAGTTTGAAATAAATAAAAAATCGAAGCAAGGAATCAAAACATGCGTCTTTGTTTTCTTTGCCTTGCTGGATCAAAGAAAAAAAATTACAGTAACAATAAGCTTTGGTCTTTGTGTGCTTAAACAAATTTACAAACACTTTGAAAAAGAGAAGGATTAAAGAATCGTTGGATCCATAACTCTTGTTTCCGCTGTTCAATTTAACCAAAAAAAAATGATACATTATTTAGGAAAAGACTATCATCGTAACGAAATAATAACAACAACAACAGCAACCTTGTACGACCAACTGCATTAATATTTCCAAATTTGAAAATTTTGAAATTTCATTTTTTTTTTTTTTTAATATTAAAAAAGTAGCTAAATCATAAACCATGTCAAGTTTATATAGTTTATCTAAACTTGAACAACTCCCAATTGAATTATTGGAATTAATATTTATATTTTCACGTAATCCATTATTCACACAAGTTTCAAAGAAATTCAATCAACTTTTCAAACCAACACTTAG